CGTGTCCCAACCAAGTAGCTCCGGGTAATGAAACTGAGCCCCAGAACGGAGACAGGGTTAAGCAAAAGACACGGTTAAGCAATTCAAACACCGTACCCGTGTCTGTGCCTGTGTCTGTGTGTCTGTGTGTCTTTGTGTCTGTGTGTCTGTGTGTCTGTGTGTTTGTGTCTGTATGTGGGTGGATGTGTGTGTCCGTGCTTCCGTGTGTGTGTGTGTGTGTGTGTGCTTGTGTTTGTGTGTCTGTGTGTTTGTGTGGGGATTTGTGTGTGTGTGCGTGTGTCTGTGTCTCCGTGTGTGTGTGTGTGTGTGTGCGTGGGTGTGTGTGTGTGTGTGCGTGCGTGCGTGTTTGCGTGTGTGTGTGTGGGTTTGTGTGTTTGTGTGTTTGTGTGTTTGTGTGTGTGTGTGTGCGTGTTTGCGTGTTTGCGTGTTTGCGTGTGTGTGTGTGTGTGTGTGTGTGTGCGTGCGTGCGTGCGTGCGTGCGTGCGTGCGTGCGTGCGTGCGTGCGTGCGTGCGTGCGTGCGTGCGTGCGTGCGTGCGTGCGTGCGTGCGTGCGTGCGTGCGTGCGTGCGTGCGTGCGTGCGTGCGTGCGTGCGTGCGTGCGTGCGTGCGTGCGTGCGTGCGTGCGTGCGTGTGTGTGTGTGTGTGTGTGTGTGTGCGCGTGTGTCTGTGTCTCCGTGTGTGTGTGTGTGTCTGTGTGTGTGTGTTTGTGTGTGTGTGTGTGTGTTTGTGTGTGCGTGTTTGTGTGTGTGTGTGTCTCTCTCTCTCTCTCTATCTCTCTCTCTCTCTGTATGTTTGCGTGTGTGTGTGAGATTATCTGTCTGTGTTTGTGTGTGTGTCTATGTGTGTGTATGTGCGTATGTTTGAGCGTGTGTTTCTGTGTTTGTATTTGTGTCTGTCTGCGTGTGTGTGTCTGTGTGTGTGTCTCTCTCTCTCTCTCTCTCTTTCTCTTTCTGTCTCTCCGTCTCTGTGTCTCTGCGTGTGTGTGTTTTGATTTTTGTTATCTCTGTTTGTTTGCGTGCTGGTTTGTGTGTTTGTACGCTTGTTGTCTTGTGTTTGTGTCTGTGTCCGTGTCTGTGTGTTTGCGTGTATGTGCGTGCCTGCGTGTCGGTTTGTGTGTGTGTGGTTGCGTCACTGTGTGTCCTTATGTGGCCTTTAGCGTCCTTGTGTGTGCTTATTTGGGCTGCTTGACGAGGTTGCGGCCGCGAGTATTACGCATGGGTGTTTGTTGCAACAAGCCTATGACCCGACCACACTCTTATGATGTGATATTGCTAGCACAATTCAACACAATGTCTGCTCGCGCTGATCTCACGAGCAGTGAACTTGCTACTGGACCGAGCCTTTTGCACATCACTAAGTCCAGCGTCACGTCCCAGGCACGCTCACCGATTTGAATCTGACCCACTCGTGCTTTTGGGGCAAACACCTGCGAATGTTTCTGTTGATGCATTTCACTGCTGACGCGGCCAATAATCCGAGGCCGTCTTCGTGATCCTCTTGAACAAAGTCTCCCCGAAGAAGGGCGGAGGCGCGACATCGCCGAAAGAAGGTCCGGTCACAATGCTGCCTACACACTTAACATGTGGGTGTGGCTCGAAATTAAACAGGAGGGGTTACGTAGGTGTTGGTCCATGTTTCCACTTACCAGGGTTCCATTTTGGTACCGGTTTTTTGAGCCACAGCCATGTGGTTTGCTGGTGGAAGTGATGAAGCCTTTGTTTTTTCTTTTTCGGAAAGTAGCCTTCTAGGGGGCAGTGCACTATGCGTAGCTTCTTGGTCAGGCGTGTTCCAGGCAGTTTCCTGAGGAAGGGGTGGTGTCGGTGTCCTTAATGACCCCTTTCTCAGATACAAACCCACCTTTAAAGTTGGTTCAGTTTGGCTCATGCGCCGCCCCCAAAGTGAGCCGTTTCCTCTTTTACTATGGTGTCCCTATGTGTCCCGTTCAGCCCCCAAGCGGCACCCGCCCAAGCCGCAGGGGCTGCGCCCGCGGAAGGGGAAGCCGAAGGTGTGGAAGGAGTGGAAGGCGCGTTGACGCGGCTGCGAGTTGGGAGGCAAAGCATGTGGCTGTGGCTCGAAATTAAACAGGAGGGGCAAACTGCAGGTCTTGGTCCATGTTTCCACTTACCAGGGCAACCAATTTTGGTACCGGTTTTTTGAGCCACAGCCATGTGGCAAGTTCGCTGGTCGCAAATTGAACGAAGGCATAGTTGCAGTAGATGCCACCATTGGGCTTCACTGTTGCTGCACATTTTGGGGGAAAGAAGTGCCTTATTGACAGGTAGGGGGCCCACTTTTGGGAAAAAAGAAACCGTTCCTTTGTCGTGATTGTTTGTTCCCGGGTTGCGGGGGATGGTTTCTGGCACATGTGTGCATTCTGGATTGCGCCGGGATGTTCTTACAAGGGTGCACCCCACAGCTTTCCATAGCTTGTCAGCATCTCCATATGCGCCCCAGCCCTCTCGTCATTCCTTTGGGGTCCTGGGGTTTCTAAGTGCCCTAAGAAGCCTCTATAGCTTTTGAGCATCCTCCAGGGCCCCGGCCCTCTGGTTCTGACATGTGGGTGTGGATTTTTGGTGAGCGCTTTTTGGATGGTTGGCCTTTGGGTTTTGACTTCGCACACCAAAAGAACCTTGGGTCCGGCCCCTTGTGGATTGAGAGTTGGGATTGGCCCCTTCATTTGACCCAGCCCGGGTGAATCACGGCATGGGACGATATGAACAAACACAAGTCACTGGTTCAAGCATTGAATCACCGAATGTCATGTATCTCTTGAACAGCGGCAACATGTTGTGCTCTATTCCCTCTCGACAGATGGGGCTTCCTCGTCTTGCGAAGACTGTTTCCCCCACGCCTTCGGCGAAAGCATTTGGCTGTCAACTCCAAAAACCATGTGGCAGACAGGCATGCCTGAGTTTCCGAGAGACAAGGCATAGTGAGCAGGTACACGTCATTGGCCAAATATGTTTCAGTGTTGTTTGGCCTGTGGCTTGCAGATGGTCCTCATGGTTAGCTTGTTTGAATCTGGGGTGTCATGTTTAGGTATCCAAGGTTGTGATCAGAAGTCTCAGCTTCCCGCGTGCATATTTAAAGGGCTAGGGCCAACCGCAGGTTTTGGTGTTAATTATGGGGAATTCATAGGGGACCCCCCTCCTCCTCCCTCCCCCAACATGTCTTTGGGTGTGTGGCCATCCCTCTGGGTGAATCATAGCGACCTCGCACGACCGAATTCACCCCGAATGGTGGTTTATGTTACCGACCAGCAAGTTTCAGGCTGGTGAAATATTATACACTGCCTTCCACTAACAGAAGGTACCTATGGGAGGGCACCTGGAACATCATTTCCCTCTTGTAGATCCCTCCAGCACAGCCGCCAAGTTTTACGTCTCCAGGCGAGGGCGAGGAGGCCTATCCCGAGGAGGAAGAGCAACAGTACTGAGAAGCCGCCGCATTGGCCAGGAGCTGTCGTTGGCTCGAGCCATCGCTCTTTTATCAAGCCATTCTTTGCAAACAAAGCCACTTAGCCGGGCGTTTCAATTGTTCAAGCCATTCTTGCAGGAAACAGTCACTTGGTTGTTACCCGAATTGGGTCGAACCATCGTTCTGTTCGAGCCATTCTTTTCAAGCCATTCTTTGCAAGCAACTTTGCCGGGCGTTTCAGTCATTTGTTAAAGCCATTGTCGGAAGCTTTCTGAAAACAAGAAACCCCCTGCAAAGAATGGGAAGGTGCACATCTTTGACATGTTTTGATTTATGGAACCACCAACCGTTTTGTGAGAGTGTTGTGTTTCCCGCGCAAATCCTTTGTATTCCATTGTAGTATAGAGATTGCCAGTTGTAGACAGATGAGCCAAATGACGAATTCACAAAAGCAGGGTTTGTCCGGGCTTAGCGTCCCCACTTGTAAAATGAAGCCTATTAGACCCCCCCGGTTCACCTTTATGGGGGACGGTCTCCACCCAAGCGTCCTTTTCCTCTTCGGGGCAAAGCGACTTGTGAGAAGCTAACATTGGCTCTTCAATTTTTTCCTGGGTGTATCCGAGCTGGAGGTCAACAATTGAGATGGATGACGTCACAAGTCTCCTTAATCGAATGTGTCTTGGTGTGGCCCTCTTAACAATAAAGATCCCTGCAACAGTGCAGTTAGAATGGGTTGTTTCTTGTTTGGCAACGCCGTTTGGCATTGATTAAAGAGGGAAGCCCGAAAGAAAATCACATGGAGATCTTCCTAATCCGGGCGGATCCCTGCGCAGTGATAGGACTCCCTAAAACGGAGAAGTTGAAGAAGTTTAACATGGTCCAAATGGAAGGCAAGACCAGCTGAATGAAGGGCTGAGGCGGGTCAGGGGAGTTTCTTAAACATTGGCCACACCGTGAAGTTTGATTAGTCGAGCTGATTGTTCTTTCGACTATATTCGAGAGGTAGCGAAGTTACTTATGTAAGCCATATGCTACTTTTATCTACCAAACCATAGTTATTATTGTAGCTATTGTTCTTATGAAACTACTCAAGGATTGAGCCATGACCCCAGGCCGGAATGCGTAAGACAGCTCAGGGCCAAGCTTCAATCTCCATGCGCGTCAGATGCGACACGGGCCAGTCCCCTCGGGGTTCAACACCCAGAGCCGAGGTTTCACAGAAAGACGACCGGCCAGAGGGCACAAAGAGCGAATCGGCAGACATGCTGAAACTAAGAACGTGTGGCTGTGGGTCAAAACCAATGGTACCATTTTGGGGTAGGTAAATTCACCACCCATTTTAGAACCTATTTTAGTGGGATTGTTCACTGGGGGTACGGGCTTTTGACCCATGGCCATGTTTGTGTTGTTTCTTTGCATCACGGATGTGCGATGATGTGGGTGGGCAATCATCAGCCAAGAGTGGGGACATGGTCGGAACAAGCGGATTGACTCTGTATCTAGAGCCCAGACCGGCATGCCCGGGATCCCGAGACAAAGGCAACTGGACCGCGGAGCCTCGAGCCTGTGTCAAAGTGGCTGAGGTGTCATCGAGCTGCCTCGGAGAAGATGGTGTGCCCTTGAGCTGCAGTGACAAGGCAGGGTGACAGACTGAAGAAAGGCGAACCGACTTTAGCATAGAACGAGTCTGGCCTTCAAAAGGTGCAAGGAATATAGTCCCTTTTTGGTGCCGCGCTTGGCCCGGAAAGACAGTGCGTGTGCCCCAGCCTGGAAACATACATTGCCCCGGCTTGAAACTGCTGCGATGATATGAGGCCCAAGACTCAGCGAAAAGTTGATGTAGCCAACCACCTGAGTGTTCACCTCCAGCCAGCAGCAGAGTCTGAGAACCCCAGCGGTCCAGTGGAGCCAAATTGCATTTGCGCCACAGGAGATTTGGCTCCACTGGACCGCCTTATATACACCTCTCCCCAGCTCCCACAGCCCCAGCTGCGGTCGCCGCGGTCGCCCAAATAGGAGTTCCGTCAAGTATGGTCTGTTGGGTTCCGTTGGGTGTCACAACAGACCCCCAAAGCTGGTTGGTCACTTCTGCTTTCCCTTTGAAAAGGCCACCCCCTGTTCAAATTTTAACATTCCCAAGGGAATATTAACTCATCCAGGGTTCCCTCTCTTAGCTTCAATTGTCAGCTTTTGGGTGGATTGGTTTTCCTTAAAGTAAGGTGATGTTCAAGGGACATGTCACCTGGGTCGATTGGTTTTCCTTCTAAATGTTCGGGTGGGACTCGGGGAGCCTCGGGCCAGGTGGCTCGCTGGCAACTGCAGGGCCTGCAGGGCCTCCTCCTGAGTTCGGAGGCTCGAAACCGAACCGCTTCGTGACTGAGAGAAGGGGGTGATCAGGGGTTTATATCGCCACCCCTTGAACCAGAAAATCTGGGGGGCCGAAGGTCCCTCTTCTTTTCTATCTTTATATTAATCCTGGCACCCCCATCCAGACACTCAGCTAAGGGTGTAGCATATCAACATACTCGTTGTTTCCTTTTGGCGTTTCCTTTTAGTTTCCTCTTAGTCTCCTTGAGCCTTGTGGTTTCCTTCCAATATAACCACACAACACCTTGAATTCGATCCACCATTTGAGGCCAAAATATCCAGTAGTGTCCCATGCATAGTTGCCTTGTTGTTTCCTTTCATTGTCCTTGTGGTTTCCTTTTACACACCATCCAAAAGACCTAGAAGGGGGGGGTACCGATTTCTAGGGCACACCTGCATCCCCTCCAGCAATTGATCCAAACGGAAGCCGAAGGGTCTTGATGGCTCCAATTAGGAGTTGCGCTTGCAGCCGACGCCTGCAGTGTTCCCTTTGGCTCAGGAAACCGGGAGTTGCAAACAGGTCACTTTCGTGTCAGCTGAGAATCGCTTGTCTTGATCCCGAGCAAGGTGGAGTTGTAGTTTATCAAGGCGGAACAAGACTGGCAGTCAGAGTCAAGATTTGGCACGGTCAAACAACTGGGGGGGGGCTAGGGATGGTCATTGACCTGGGCTGCTCAAAACCAATTCTGAATCTTCAGTTGCGCCAGGTCCCCCTTCTTTGCAGATGCTTTCTCTAGCCAGAGACGGGGAGTTGTTTCATTGTCCAGCCCATCAGCCCAGTCAACCCGGGTATTCGGTATTCGCTGCCAGGTGCCAGGACGCGGGGGCGTTTTGAGGATCACACACGCTTTGGCCATGGTTCCGAGGGTAAACATTGACATTCCCAGTCCGTAGACTCGCATGTTTTCTTCGAAAGATCCTTCTGTTGGGGGGGGGGGGTCTGCAAAATGAACCTTGATGAGTTTCGCAGTTTGCTACTACTGTGTATATAACATGCACACCTTGGTGACAACAGACATGTGTATAGTCATTGTTTGGCACATCCTTTTCAGGAGACACTGGGAACAGACCCCACCCACAGCATGTGTGAGCTATCTCGTGCTGAAAGGTAAGCTCTGTGTTTCTTTGGGTTCGTTTGTTTTGCCAAGGTGTGAGTTACACTTGATTGACGCTAGTCACGTCCTCGCAGGTCCCAGCTCCTTTGCGGCTCAGTGCGCCAGTGGGTTTCAAGGGACCCTTTGGAGCTGGGGATCTAGCCACTGAGGGCGGGGACCCTATGAAGATGGCCATGCCCGAAAGGCCTGGAAAGATATGCCATGGCCATCAATTTGCCAGCCAACTTTTTCCAGATCTTGGCAAGGAGGTATGTGCCAGTGGACTTGAAGGATAGGCTGTTCAACTTGGCATGACTGCTCAAGATATTTTCGCAGTTTTTGTTTGTCAAAAGACTCCTTCAGTTGAACATCCCGCTGAGAGCTTGTTCATCCCGCTGGGTTGCTTTGACTTGGTTGTATTGCAACATGTGAGTTGAATAACACTACAGCTGCGAGATCCATGGATGCACACCCTCATGGGCACAGATATTTGTATGGCTGTAGGCTAGTGCCTCCCCCAATGTTGATACGTGTTGCTTAAGATAAAGGACACCCCAAAACATGTGACTTTGTTTTGGTTAAAACCACCCAACAAACGGGACCTTCAACAACAACGACGCACCCGTCTGACGCGGCGGTGCAAGCAAACTTCGAGTACAAGCAGGTCGATCACGCGGATATGTTGTACTGGCATTGTGACATCTAAATGATGCTACATGAATCATCATTCATAATGATTTGTTTGAAGCTGCATGTAAATGACGAACCTATTGGCGGACGATGTTTGTCTGAGTGCACAATTGTGCTCTCAACATGTCTCAACAACTCGCTGGCCTTGTTGATGCGCACGTACTTCTACCTGGAACGGCTGTTGATTGCTGCAACTGCAATGCATGCTTGCAATACATTCTGGGTTGCCCTAGGACCGCCAACATGTGCAGGAGCACATCATGAATCATGGACAGACCATGTAATTATGTCTGTTCTGAAGGTACTTGTTCTTGTTCTAAAAGGACAAAGCAAAAGGAACAACCACCATTTGCAAGGCCCTTAAACACACCATGCCTTGAATTCAACGCTATGATAGACTAGCACAAGCACACCTGCGAGTGTCAGGTACTGTCATCATCGGCCGCAAGTTCGACCATGCAAGCTGCATGTCGGCCTTTGGCCTGACGCCTGGATTGTCTCTGGGGCCCTGCTGGCTGGCAGCGGATGTTTGAGGCGATGCTTGGAATGACCACACCATTTGCTTCGTGATTCAGCGAGGGTTCCCAGCAAACAGCCACTCCTTGAGTTGTCAGAAAGTGCTTACGCGACACTTACCAAGGATCGATTTCCTGAGGCGAAACAGTTCCCAGAAGACATGGCCCATGATACTGTCCAGAACCGTAGGCTCATGTTGGCTGAAGCTGGCACAGTTGTCCGTTGTCCAGCCCCTCATGCGGAACGAGCTGTCATAGGCAAGCATAGAGACATCAAACAGCTATGCAGTTATAGACAGCTACATTTGTATGGATTCTAGTCATCCCCCTCCACCTTGAGCTTCTTTCAGTGCGTCTATTCCAAAAGCTTGAATCACTGCTGGTTCAAATTGGCCTGCTGCAACCCTGGGTTTTGAAATTGTAATCACATTTGCGGCCTTTCTTGAATATGTGAAAGCCCGCTAGAGACACAGTTGCTGTTGAGGTTGGAGCCATGCGCCGGCGATCCTCCATGCTGACTTCAGCCTGGAGGTCAAAGAGTTTGCCGGTGTCGTGTTTCGTGGAAGGCTGTTTTTGACCGTTGGGGATGATGCAGGGAGACTGAAGTAGACATGGCGCTTCTTTTGGAACATCTCCAGGCTTCAGCGAGTTGCTTCTTGCTTTGGTTTCCATTTGCTTAAGAATATGTTCATTTTCCCTTGTTGGTTTTAAAAGGAATCTATCACTTCTTGAAATATCTTCCGTCCAAGGCACATGAAAGCTTCTGTTGCTCAAGAGTCGCCATGATGCGAAGTTGCTGGAGGTAGTGTATGTTGTTCCACATGGAGCTATGGATGGACGCGACTCAACCGAACCTGTGCCACGGTCCACTTGTCCAACTTGTTTGGTTTTTCACCGTTCAACATTTGTGTTTGTTACGGGGGAACTCCCCCCAAATGGCGGTGTTCGTATTGGTTTCCCCTTTAAAACGCCCGAAGACAGGGGGTGCCAACTCCTAAAAAAGGACGAGCCACCCAATTGTTGGCCGGACTGGGGACTGGTGTCTTGGTCCAAGGTTAGCCCGTGGCACAGACCGGGCTGGTTGGGCTGGGCTTGGCTTTCAGGCGAAAAATGGACTTGCTCTTGTGAACCCCCACGGCCCTACAATCTCAAAAGTTCGACTCACTAAAAGTGGAATCAACCACTAGACCTGGATCACCCAACTGGAGTCAACCCAGAAATGTCCAATGGTCAACCCGGTCAACCCACTGGAAATGGTCAACACCAAGCATCTCCCAGCAATATGTAATCCCAGAACAAGATTCAACAACAACAAATGGTCAACCCCAGAAAATGCTCAACTTCACCCCAAAACTGGTGACCCCAAAAACTGGTCACCCGAAAAAAACTGGTGAATCCAAAAGCTGGTCAACTTAAGATGTAGTCAACCCGCAAGTTTGGTGCCCGAAAGCTCCCTTTCGCTACCAGTTGCGCCTTGCACTCGGCCAGGCCACGCTGAAGTCTGTGCGAGCCTCGCTGGGCATTTTGACGGAGGAGAGCCCCAAGGCCGGTGCTCCTGGGGGTTGATTCGTTCGCTTTGCGGATGGTTTGAGTTGTGGTAGTTTGTTTAGTTGAGTTAATGCGTGTTAGAATGTTGAGTCGATTTGTATTTTGGTGGTTTGCTTAGTCGAGGTGTTGAATATGCGCAATTGTTGAGGCTAGATTGGAAGGAGCTCGCTATGTTTTTGCGCAGGCGGGGGGGGGGGGACCCATGAAGGTTCCTTTGAGGGGTTATATTGAGTTGCCCAAAGTGTACATTTGGTGGTATATTTTTGTGTATGCGTTAAGTTGCTGTGCTTGGAAAGCTCGAATTGTGTTGTGTTTTTCAAACCCCCCCCCCTCCACCAGGAGATGCCTTTAGAAAGGTGGTTACTGGGACCGCTGGGACCTTTCCGATGTCATCGCTTCTAAGTCGCCTCTCAGAACATGTTAAGTTCTGTGTGGTTTTGTGTAAAGGCATCATGAAGGCCCTCTCCGAATGGAGATGCCAAGATGAGTTCGAGCTTTGTCTCGTTTTGGAGTGATTCAACCCCGCGGCCTCACGGCATCGAACGCCCGCTCCCTCCGCAAGTGGGAACATGTAGAGATATGGCTGTGGTTGTCAAAACCAAAAAGATCCCATTTTGGGGTAGGTGAATTCACCACCCATTTTAGAACCTATTTAGTGGGGGTACGGGCTTTTGACCCATGGCCATGTTTGTGTCGTTTCTTTGCATCACGGATGTGCAATGATGTGGGTGGGCAATCATCAAGATTGGGGACATGATCGGCACAAGCGGATTGACTCATGCCCGGGATCCAGAGACAAAGGCAACTGGACCGCGGAGCCTTGAGCCTGTGTCAAAGTGGCTGAGGTGTCATCAGGAGAAAATAATTCTGGGCCAATCGGATGGATTAAGACTATGTGATGGCCACACATCTACAGGATTTGTGTGGCCTGGACAATGAGAGAGATGATGACATTGCAGTGCGACGTTCTCTTAAATGTCATTCACTCTCTCTCTATCTCTCTCTCTCTCTCTCTCTCTGAGTCATGTCAAGTTAACCCCTGTTTAGAGGTGCCCCTCGAAAGGTTGATTGGGCTAACACATGATGTTCTAAGTGCGAGCCATTGACCCCCCTCCCCCTCCCCCCGTTCTCACCTAGGAAGATAAGCAGAAACAAGAGATGGAGGGCGCCACAAAAGCGAATGAGCCTTACGCAGCGAATGGTGCATTTCATTTGGCCCCAATTTTGGGAAGCCGGTGCCAGGGCGATGGAGTCGGCGCCTCGAGCGCCCTCGTTGGGTGTGGAGTGGCTGCGGGTTTGAACAAGCCGCCCCCTTGGGGTTTTAGTTGGTTTAGTGGGCTTCCATTTAACCCACAAGTTATACACCTTTAGCAGGGGGTCAGAAACCGGACAGCCCAGTTTAGGAGCTTGGTCGTGTTTCAAGGGATTTGTCCAACCCGGAGCGAAGAGACATGTGCTATCTAATGCATGGAGGCGTACCCGCCCCCATAGGTGTTGCGTTGGTAGGCACTGGGGGATATATGGGGTGCTTTTCTTGTTTTCCCTGGGGGTTGGGATAGGGTGGCTCTCTCCTTTGCCTTCACAGGGAAAACCATGCTACATAAAGTGCGGATCTGGGCAGCTGGACTATTTGGGAGATATTGGGACTTGAATTGGCAAATCTGTTTTCCCGGAGTCTCGATGGGTAGGGCGTTGTCTTGCCCCATGCCTAACTAATAATCTTAAAGTTATGATGTGTGAAACAGGCACTCGACAAAATGTTGGGCTTTTGTGTGTGTGTGTGTGTGCGTGTGTTGACCAAACAGCGTGGCGCGGTGCTAACTTTGAACATCTGAAGCGAACCCTCTGCGCACTTTGGCTGTGTCGGATCGCTCTCGCTGAGGCGAGCACATGCGTCGGTATTGATTCAAATCGAGCCCTCTGCAGACTTTGGGCGTGTAGGATCACAGGTGCTATGGCACGGTCCAAGCGCGCAACGACAGCAAAGCCTCTGCGAACCGTGGGTGCAAAGTGCTCCTGCGGACGGTGTTGCATCGCTCCCACTGCGGCACAATCCAACTTTGACACATCACAGGAAACAGATTGAGCTTTTGCCCGGTTTGGGGTCCTTTGCCGGGATATGTGTGATATTCTCAACAAATGCATCAACATCTCCAGCTTCGCTTTTCTGCGACTTCTCATTGCTATCTGTTGAGTCGGCGTAGAAGAAAGTAGCTGACACCCGTTCGAGGAAACTATGTTCTTGCATTATTTACCTGGAGTCTCCATGACCCTTAAAAGAAGGGGTCATTACCCAAAATTAAGGGGTCATGGACCCAATTTATAAGGGTCATGGAGACTCTAGGTAGATGTACAAACTGCACGCATCAGTCGGGGTTGATCAACTCATGCTCACCACCATCTTTTTTTCTGGCGTGAGTCATGATGCTTGCCACTGGCTGTACCCTATAGAGCAAGCGGGAAGCACAACGACGTTTCTTGCGTGGTGCCCCCCAAAAGTGTCAAGCGCCCTTTACAACATGTTCCTATGCGTCCAAACAGAGCCAAGCCCAGTCCACAAAACAGAACAGAAGCTTGACTGAACCCAATGATGCAGGAGATGCAGAATGAGCTGTCGCCTGTTTCCCTGCGCCCAAACACAGCTTTTCAGCTTGGCAAGACTGATATCTCAAGGCAGGAGAGTAGCCGAACGCTCTGCTTGAGAGGTTTGGCTCTCGACTTACGGAGCTGAGGATGAGAGTTTCGTATGGAGCTCTGGGGATGTCCGAGCAGCGGCGCATGACGGCAGGAGATCCGAAGCCGCAGAGCAGCTTCCGGGGCCTTGTTCTCTGTAAAAAAAGCACGTTCAACTGGATTGCCCGGGGAAATGCGGCTCCCTGATTGAAAACATTCAATGGTTGGTGGAAAAAACTGGAGGCGTCAACTTGAAGGCCTTCAACATCTTCCAAAGGTAAAGTCAATGAGGACTTGTGGCTTAAACGACCCCTGTTGTTTTTGAACACGACAGCCCTGTTTGGGATGATGTGAAACTGGGGATATAGGCAACTAATTATTTCCCTCACAAATCTGAAGTTGACAATTGCAACACAGTTGTTCTGAAAGCGGTTTGCTCCCTTTTAGCCTGCCTTTTGGAAGTCGCAAACACATGCACTGTGAATGATTATTGCCATGCTTTGCAGCGCTAGCGCCTGCATCCTCTAACATGGCGCCTGGACTAAATTAGTTTCGAGAGTCGACCTTTGTCAGGTTCCATGGAGTAAGCCTAGGTCCCCCAGCTAGGTGCCCTTTCTCAGCCAACTTTTTTGGTTGGGAGGGTTCCCCTACAAAAATAGACTACAGAATACAAATTGGGTACCAACTTATTCTATCCTCTCTACTAGAGGACCTAGAAGCTTATCCGCGTGGCTTCGTACTTGCGCTGCCCTGCGGGTGCCCTTGTGACATGGGGGGCGTCAGATGATTCAGCGGTTGGGACTCGGACGGTGAAAACAGTCTAGGCACCTGGACACTTCCCTTAAGACCTGAGACGCATCTTGGCATGGCAAATGGCCATGGGTATCGTACCCCCAGTGAACATCCAAATCCCCACTAAAATAGGTTCTAAAATGGGGGGTGCACCTACCCCAAAATGGTAGCCAAATCTGCATGAAACCCGGTCAAATCTCTTCTAGCAAGAAAAGCATCCGAGGGCCCCCTGCCCCCTCACCCTAGTCTGAGACAAACCCAAACGGCTATGAATTTTACAGGTTGGCACAATCTCAAAGATCGCCGGCATAGTCTGGCATACTTCAATCCCCGTGCAGATGCTGTCCACCAAGAGGTTCACATGGGCGTGTCTTTTTGAAGGTCTGCTTTTTGGGGTTCGATGCCCCACGTCGCCGGCAAGAAAAGGAAACCATTCATCGGGAGAAACATGCGGAGGACCGGCGCGGCGCTGGATTCCAGGGGTCCAGAGCCTCAGGTAGATATGCTTTTCTAGGTCCAGCGAATGGTGCCCGACCTCTCACCCGTTTCTTGTTTGGTTGGGAGGGTTCCCCTAAAATAGAGAAACAGAGAAAGTTGGTGCCCTTATTCTGGCCTCTCGGATCCAGTCTGGTTGTTGTACGAAAATAAACACCCTCTACTCAAAAACCTAGTCATCCTTTTGGGGTTGCAGTTAAGGGAGACCCCAAAGAAACCACCTTGCGGGAAATGATTCCCGCTTTGAGCCCATCTCCGCAAATCTGAAGACGGACCCGGAGCCCATTCCTCGGAAAACGAGGTTGTTCTCAGTCGTTTGGTTGAGGCCTTTGTGTCTACTGTTGATCTTTGTTGGAGAGGGAGGGATGCGAAGCAATTTATTTCGAACACAATGCGCGTATGTCACGAAGCCATTGCCATGGTTCGTAGGGAAGCGCTTGTTTGGGGAATTGTCATTCCCATCAAGCCTGAACTCTGCACAGTCCAAAGGCTTCGCTGTTCTCGACCGCCCATGGCCATTTCCCAATATTTCCCAGGTATCACTTTCTGGGATCTGCACATTAGTGAACGGTTTGGGAAGGGTTTGGGCCAAAATTCACAAAAGGCCCTCCCAAATTTAAATTGATGTTTCCGCCCGTGGCCACTTTTGTCATTTCCTCCGCGATCGTAAGTCGCCGTTTGTGGAAGGCGATGAGTCTTGGCTTCCAGAGCTTGGCCCATAGTCCCTTAGCTTTGGAAGAATTGTTCTGGGTCCCAAATTCGACTTGAGCGCAAGTTGTTCATGGTTTTTTCGAAGGGCCTTGTTCAGTTCCCTCAGAATAGTTCAAGAAAATGCGCCTTGCGAATTGATACAAAAGCATATGAGCGTGGGTCAAAATTAAACCACTAGGCGACTGCAGGTTTTAGTTCATGTGTCCATTTACTAAGGTTCCATTTTGAGTACCTATGCCTGGTGTGCATGTTGCGTGGCTGGGTCCTTCAAAACCTGCAAAGGCCCCGAAGGATTGCCCCAGCCCAGACGTTCGCGAGTCCAGAGGCGTGAGCCTCCACGCAGCGCCCACCGTCGCGGGCGCCAGGTCCGAAGCAGAATCGGCCAGGGAGGTTTCTGGGTGCCCAGTGCATTGGAAGGGTCGGGAGCATTGGAAGGGTCCAGCCTAAATGCCCTGACGACGTTCCGGGCCTCTGGCAGGTCTGAAACCCAACCCAACTGGCCACTAGCCGCAACGATACCCCTGCGCAGAACAAAATTCCGATGTCCAGAAAACAGTAAAACAGGTGCAGGCGCCATGTAGGATAAGGCTGGGCGGCTTGAGTCCATCGTCTTATCTGCAACGCGTTACCTGTTGTTTCAGATGTTCTTGTGGGCTGGTGCTGTGTCTTTATGATGTTTGGTCTTTCGCAGCTTATTGACAGGGTCCCGTGTTATCCCGTGCTTGCAAAAAGGCTGCTGGCTTTGTTTGTTTGTGTGAGTGGACAGGCCCATGAGCCGTGCGAAATTCATTTGGTTACGCGATATTGCTGCTCTTGGCTTGCAATGGCGTAAAGTCACACTTTGTCTTTACGGGCCAGTTGAGTGCCGATTATGCGTCAAGGTCGGGCGTCGGAAACGCGTCGGGAACCTAATGCTTGGGCCCTCAAAACTGGGCAAACCGAGGGCCCGCGAGGGCCCGAGCGTCGGAAAGCCGTCGGAATCGTCGGGAAACCGTTGGAAACGTTGGGAAACCGTCGGAAACGTCGGGAAGCGGTCAGAAACATCGGGAAGCCGTCGGAAACGTCGGGAAGCCGTCGGAAACGTCAGGAAGACGTCGGGAAGCCGTCGGAAACGTCGGGAAGCCGTCAGAGACGTCGGGAGGCTGTTTTCAAAAACCGCGGAATGCTAGCATGAGTGAGAACGCCGTCGTAGGGCACGCACTCACTTGTGCTTACCGTCGCAACTGAATCTTCTGTTTGCCAGCCAGGCCGGTGTGCGGGAGGGGTCGTATTTCTATGGCCCCTCGCCATTCTGTTTTTCAGGGCCCGATGCCAAACGACGCCCCGAAAAGAGTTGGGATCCTTAGGACAGAGAAAACCTAAAGGAGATGGTCAAGTACCAGATGGCCAACTTCAAGATTTTAACAGTTTCGCATTGAAAGTCAATTACAGAGAGTATCAGTCAAGAGATCCACTGTCCAAGTGTGAGCCATGGGCAACATTCGTGAGGTCCTGGGAAGCACCCGATGCCTTCCTTTTGTTTCAAGGGGTGGGGGAGTACCCAAATGCGCCGGTAGCAATGCTGTGATGAAACCTCATGCTTTGTCTCAACAGGGCTTCTAAACATCCAGCAAAAGAAGAAAGGGCTCCCCATTGTCAGATGTATTGTTGTGTTTGCGCATAGCGCAAGAATATGTTATATCAGGCACAGCAACACAGGAACACAACATTGCTTCTTTCGGATTTGAATGAGCGAATGCATGAAACCTCGCTTGGTTTAAAATAGCCTGTTCGAAGTCAGCTCGAAGATATTTGTTCTTCTTAGTCGCCAGCGCACATCTTGAACTTTCAAGGGCCGATGTGCTGTCGGTAATTGTTCAATATGAATCAACCAGTGCAACTTGCTTTGACACACCTAAGCTGCCCACAGTTCTGACCAATCAGCGCTGCTCTCCCTATTGTTTGACACAATTGTTAGTTTGTTCATTGGGCTGCTAGGGTCCGTGTTCCAACAAACCCATTTGGGTAAAGATTGAATTTAATTCATGAGCAGCGGCGAACGAGCATCGGATTCACACCTGAATTTCAACATCAGGACATGGGCGAGGTCGGTTGACTCTCGAAGGTCAGGCTGAGGCCCCCCCCAGTCGCACCGCGGTGCCGTTGCCAGTCTTTTGACTCTCTTCAACGGGCTCCGCAAAGAACGGGGCCAGGAGGCGGGCGGTGGGTGTACTGTCAGGTTTGGGACGTGTGGTATCATGCTACCTGAAGAGTCAATCGTGACGACTCATGAATCATCGGAACGTTAGAACTGTGCGAAGGAATCAATACTTGCGCATGCATGGGTTTAAAACCTGTTTGTCGAGGATTGATAATACATTGTAGCGTACATTTGAGCCACATACAGGCATTAAGAAACAGATGCTTGTGACGCCACAGGAAGGGGCCAAGTGGAAGTTGCCCGAAAAGGCTGCTCTCTACGCATGCCTACATGCATCCAGATTGGCAGTTGCCCGATTATTCGTTCGTCGTGAACCGTGTGTACTGGCTGTTATAGGACACCCTTCTCCAACGAATTGTTTTGCTTGCGAACACCGGTCCAGGTGTCAACACGCACAGTGCACGTGCAAATGGTGCCGCGTGCATGCCAGTTGTATTTGAGTAATTTTTAACATAGTGACGTGCACACACGCACACACACACACACACCCCACGGCGCTTTCCACTTCGCCGGGTTGTTTTGTTTGACTCATGAAACCTGCTTGGCTGACTTGAGATGCGGACTGCGCGACTCGTTTGTGTTTGAGGATCTCCACAAGCATGGCCACACACGCACACAATCACAGGCACAGAGGGAGATATACAGTCACGCAGACACGCAAACATCGACCCACACAGACACAGACACAAAGACAGAAACAGAAACAGAGACAGAGACGTACAGAGACATACAGAGCCTGAGACAGATAGGCAACCAGGCAGATGCATGGACATAAGGACACAGGGGCGCACGCGCACACACACACACAAACACACAAGCAAACAAGCACACAAGCACACAAACACAGACGCAGACGGATAACATACACACACACAAAGACACCGACACAGACGAAGGGTCACAAAGGGCACACACACACACATGGACACAACGGCACAACAACGCAAAGATGCAAAGAATCCGACCACACAAACAGCCGCCTCAAAGGCGATGTACACATATAGCATATCTACAATCTACAAATTGCATAATGTTGGACCCTCTTTACACGGCCCCCCCCCTCCTGAACAGTGCAACCAGTCAGCTGGGTGTCACATGTTTTCCCAAAGTTGTTGGGTTGTGAGTAGGGACTTCATCTCCGACTCCGCTCGGAGGCGTCGGGGTACGCGGAGGCGAAGCGGTTGGCCGCCCGAGAGCTGAAGACGACGCCAGAGAGGTGCGCGGGATTTGAGTGGGAAGCGCTGGGAGGTCGTGGGGCAAACTGTGGAAAATTCAGATGGCTGGAAAGGAAACAAAGGGTTGGCGGATGCTCTTCCCTTTGGAAAGGGGGTAGGGCACTGAAAGGTGCGGTAGGGCGGTATACTTTTTTCTGAGAAAATTATGTTGGCCCCTGGATTGTTTCAAGGGTCTACTTTCGGGCCTGAACCCTGGCAGCCTGGTTGGTTCGGTAGCTTGAGAGACCTGAGAAAGAATTTTACGAGGCAACGGAGGTTCGGTCCACCCAGAACTTGGACAAAACCAGTGCCCGTGTGGCGCCGCGGCATCACCACGCGCCATGCGACAGAAAGGGCTAAATGAGCAAACATAGTGTTCTCACTTGAATGATCACAACTAAAGTTAGTTTTACGTGCTCCAAAACTCCATTGACATTGTCGTGGCCCATACAGTCTCATAGTAAGCAGGGGTCCTGACGCGATACATTCAGTTGCCAGAATTCAGGCGTCGGGAACAACTCCTGGATGCCTTCGCTGCGAGGACGCTGGGGAAGGGGGGAGCTGGCGCGTCGTCATTGGCTTAGATTTTCCCAGAGTTTCAACTTAAGAATCCGGCACGTTGGCTGTAGAACTTTGGTGCAGAGTTCTGGTCGATGAAATTTGGGTGTTGATGGACGTTGCAGATGCAGAGTGTCACAGAGTGGTGGCGTTGCTAGGGGTGCTGAGTGGTGCTGAAGTAGGGTTCTGCTGCAAGGCTATGTTCGTGTCTTCCACTGAGATCTTGAATTTGTGTTGAACTTTGTGGTGGGCCAAAACTAGGGACCTCGATTGTCCTTTTGTGATGCTGTGTCGCTTTTGAACGGTGTCCGAAAAGAGGGCTCTGGGGTGTTGAATGACGTGATGCGTGCAGCATCCTGCAGCGGAATGATGTTGGCTTGAGTTTTATAGTCATTCATGTTTGCTTTCTCGCTTCTTCCAATGAAAGGCGAAAGGTGTACCACTAGTGCTTTCAGAACAAGATATGTCGGCTGTAGGAAAGGACAAACAGGCGAAGCAGGAGGGGTGATTTGGTGGCATGTTGTTGTTAGCCAGAAGTGGATGGAGACTTCCTCCGCTAGTGTCTATGGCCGTCAGGATACCCCGAAAGTTTCAAAACATGGATTTCAATTATTACTCACGAATCAATTTTCTCTCAATCACTATTATGATCCCGTGACTGGGCTTGCTGGTGGCTGGAAACACTAGGATCTGCAAATCTGAGACTGGTTTTCTCACCTCTCAGCCGCATTGCGATGCGACGGGACTGGCTCGAGGTTGCACGATATCGATGTTGAAACTGGATATGCTGTCATACCATAGGGTGGGAGATCAAAAAGAGCCAACCAGAGGATCCAAATGTGAATGGTCGTATCGTACGAAAACGTCGCAGACGGTTTCGCCAAAGGCACCCGTTTCGCAAGGGTGTGTGTGTTTTGTTTTTTTTTGTAGAGAAATCAAGGCCTTGGAGGTGCAGAAACTCACTTGGAGAAATCCTGCCTGCCCTGCAATCTGTCAATTTGTTGAGCAATTTTTGTGCCCAATGGAATTCAGCTACAAACATGGGGTAGCGTCATGTCCTTGATTCAAAGGGACAACACGGAGCCAACAAATATTCTTGCTGGTGTTCAGCAGGCAATGACAAATGGAATGACCCTATCAAGCATCCCTTGTGGTTTTCTTTAAGGGGACCCCTGGAACCATTCCCTCATTCCCTATCTCAGCAGCAAGTTTTGAGGGTCCACACCCAGTTTGCTGCGAGGCATAGCCCAGCGGGCGACCTCGCAGACTCCGCGAGGGGAAAAAGAGAGCTGGGCGGGCAGAATGCGACGACACGTCGACTTCTGAAGCACGCCGCGGTCGCTTGCCGGCGTTTGTTGTTTTCTCCCTTGAACATCTTTGAACCCAGGTTTTTGGGGGTTGTAGAAGAAGGTCGTGATTCGGCGTGGGGCGAGTTTGCAGGTTTTGCTGCTTTGCTGTAGGGTGTGGCTGGCTCTCGGCACGTTCCCTACAGCAGGGATGAGCCAAGACGCCAACTGTCATTTCTATTTGAAGCAAACGCCGAGAAGTTTCAAGTTTTTGGAAAACATGCCTAGCTTTGAACCGTCAGCATTTGTGCTTTTGCCTGCAGAAACCAGTTCGGCCCAACTTGTCTATCAGGTTCCTGGGGCGATCGGGTGTGACAGCATGCGCAGAAGCACTTTGGTGTGTGCCCTGTGTGTGTGTGCTCTCGCTCTTCATGGCTGCTACCCTGAAGAGCCAGCTCAAATCCAGCAAGGGAGTCAGGACAGTTGGACTGCGACACTCGTCTTTCTGATCTCTACGCCTATCCTGGCATGCTGCTGCGTGTTTTGCAGCATCTGTACAAATGATGAGTCCGGAGTGTTTTGCTTGGCAATGTGTGGGTGCCTGCTGCTTGGCGGCACCTGTGCTGGAATCAGCGGGGGTGTGCACAGCGTTTACCTGGGAAGAAGTTGCCAAAACTTTCAGCAAGTTGAGCCACAGAGCTGCATGAGCTGGAACGACACCAGGATTTTGAATCTCGGGTGGAGACCTGAAGATTGCTGCGATCCGGTACCATGTCAATGCAATTCCTCCTTTCAGGCGACACTGCTTCACGAAGTCTGGCAAGACCCCACAGGCCCAGCTTGCTGCAGAGACTTGGCGCATTGCAGCAGCTTCAGCTGTGATCCAGGCTATGGGCTCCGAAACCAGTACTGCGAGTCCTCAGGCTGCACTGCAGCTCATTGTTGCGCACCACCACTGAGCTGCAACGACTTTGATGGGTGCATCCGTTCCGATGAGAAGATTGCAGAGGCTTTCTGTGACCCCAGTGGATGCACCCAAGACACTTGCTGCCGCACATCTCCCTACACACGCCCATGCGTTTGCAATGCAGTTGGTGAGGGCTTGCATTGCGAAACTGGGCCGGGGGAATCGTGTGGATCTGCAGACAACATGTCCCTCTGGGACTGCTTTCTCGCGAAGACCATGTGCATCTACCAAGTGGCGTGTCACCCAAAGCCTGGAATCTCATTGAATGCAGGATGTGATCAATTCAGGACGGAAGACAGCTGCAATGACCAAATTCACTGTCAGTATACCGAGGACACTAGCCTGGTGCATTCCTGGGGCTGCCAAGGAATCCAAAACGGCACTATCCAAGAGTATTGCAAAGCAGTCATCTCGAAAGAAGAATGCGATCGACAGCAGCTTTGCACTTGGAGGTTGATAGAGAATGCAGAAAGGCAGTGCAACAATGGGGGAGCGTGGAAGGGATGTATCGGCAAGATTGATGAAACCACGGCAAGGTGCGGAAGCTTCACCCGCTCTGGGTGCATGACCAACAATGATTATTGCTCATGGGTTGGGGCTTGCCAATGTACACCCGGCTATTTTGGAGCAGACTGCACCGAACAAGTGGTGGGTTTCAACTTGCTTGCTCCCCAAGGATACTGCGCAGAGCAGCAAGCCGACAAGGCTGTGTGCCAGGGCTTGGTCTATGCGTCTTCCGCCGCAGATGTCCACCGGTGCTCCGAAGAAGGGGTTCGATGTGGACCTTGGCAAGACACCAAACTTGCCGTGTCCCGCATCCGCGAGGTTGAGATCGGTGACATGATTGTGGACTCGCTTGGCATTTTGATGCTGGCAGTCGCAGGCGTTTTCAGATTCTCAAACTGGAACAGGTATTTGTTCCTCGCATCCTTGGCCAACTTCATGGCTGACATGTGGTTGGAGGCCATTCTTGTAGGTGTCAGCGCCGAAGCCATCGAAGCAGTGGGCACAGTCCGAGGCAGTTTCTGCTTCTCCTATGGTGATGGGATTGCCAGCTTGATCAAGCTGGAGGAGCTCATGGATTCCATTGTGACCTTCGCCTGGACCAACATCGGGCTAGCCATCGCAGGTGCTGTGTTGGAAGTGGTCGACACGTCCTGTCAAGCACTTGCTTCGGAAGGGCTGAGCATGACTGCCATGTTCTTAGTTATCTTCGTTTCACTGTCAGAACTGGGAGTGGGAGTGGCGAGCTTCATCCAGAACACCCAAAAGCTGGTTGAGGAGATCGAATTTATGGAAGCTGTAAGCCTTGGCCTTGAGACATTTGAGGATGGCCATGCTTGCTTCGTCAGGAATGTGGATTTGGCCTCTGCAGCAGTGCTGGGTGTGGAGTGGACCTCTCATTTCTGGATTGTTTTTCCAGTCTGGATTGTTCTTCCAGTCTGCTTGGTCACCTTCGTTTACACGCTGGTGATTTGCCTGGCTTGTTGTTGCAGCTAATCCTGCCGGGGCGGATGGACGAGAATGAAGCCGGAATGACCTGTGGGTCCTGCGGATCCTGTGGCTGTTTCACCCTAGCGGATCCTGTGGCTGTTTCGGCCTAGCTAATGTTCCTAAGGAACAAAACTCCTGGAACTGAACCTTTTGTTAACTTTCTCTAGCGAAAAGCCTGGCTGCATAGCCCGCGCGGGGCAGCAAAACTGGGCCGCAGTGAGCATGCTGATTGGTGCAGAACAGTGGTTGATCCGAACACCTTGACATCTTTGGGGCGGATTCCGGGCGGATGGGATCCGTGTTTTCTTAAGCAGGATGTGAGCAAGCCACATGCCTTCTGCATAGGCACAAAGTGCATTTTCTCGCTTGTTGCCTTCAGATGCCCGTTGCTTTGCATTTCCAGCCTAGGAATGACAAATGCAGGAGCCTGACAACTGCATGAGACTCAGTTCTGTTCCGAGCACTGGCAATTTGTTTCTTCTCTGCGCCAGGCTCAAGGTTAGGGACCATGACGCGGCGGTTTTCAAGCACAGCCCGTGAGTAACGCGGTGGTTTGCCCACGTAGCACGTAACTCGCTTTCCGTCGGATCCAGTTTGGGGCGCGTTGATCAGACTCGAGCGCATGGATTTGCCATGAGGATCCGCGGGGAGGGCTTGGAGCGAACACGGCCGACCGGGCCGCCGTTTGGCGGGGAAGGACTTGGCTGGCGGCCTTTTATGAACAGAGCAAGTATCAATGGCTACTGTCATCTACGGTAGCAAAGGGAATGACATTGGGAACACTCACCAAATTGGCGTGAGGAAAATGGGGGTTGCTCACCAAATTCCCATGCCAGTTGGGGACGCAATGAATATTGTGGCTCATGTGTCCTTGAAATTGACCAAGAGCCTTGATTCTGAGACCAACTGAGGGGCTCCAATTGGACATCGAATGGCTCTGCCCAGGTCTTATTTATTGTTTGTGTAGTCTGTGACTGCGACTATACCAACACAATATCAAATGTCAGGGTGCGTGTGTCGCTTAAGTCTACGTGCGCACTGGCGTTGGGACGCGGAGAGCTTCAATCGATGACTTGTGTGAACTGATCAGACAGAAAGGCACTGGCAGGATCCAAGTGATGCATTCTACAATCCAAGCCAACGCCTCTTAGGCTAATCGAAGTGATGCATTCTACAATCCAAGCCAACGCCTCTTAGGCTAAGAGGTTGGAACATTGGAACATACCAAAAGATCCTCTTTGGGATTGAATTGCGGATGGGCACGCGTTACCCCAGCATCCTTTCCCCCCCACGACATGAATGTTGTCTGGAGGCGGCACGACATGAGTGAGGAAGGGATATGTGTGGAACATCTCTAAGCTGTGAGACTTGCCGAAGGAAACCACACCCTCGAATCACTCAGGCATGGCATTTGAAGATGAACAAATATTCGGCAACTATGGAAGCTCACCTGGCGTAGAATCATATCACTGATGAAGGTCCCTTGCTTTGGACATTTCCACATCGGATCATGATGACTTTGCAGATGTAAATGAACTAGGTATAAGGACAAATTCATGAAGCTCAATAAGTTTGTTGCGACCCGGCCACGTTCCCTGCAGGTCAGACCGATCAGTACGAGGCTGGGAACTCTGTTTGGCATCAAGTGCATGACTCCCTGGAGCGCACAAAACGGTTCCCCAAAAGGAAAGTAGTCTCTCCAAGCTCTCGCGTCAGCTTCCACGCTTCTTCAGGGCTCCTTAAAAGATCTCCATTTTGCCACCATTTGAAACATGTTGCTTTTTCAACACCATAATCAAGTCGGAAACCACCAGAAAACTAGTTGCAATGTTCAGGTGTCACTGTAAGGATCGCTGTGGAGCAAGGATCACTCAGCTTCAAGGGGCTCCTTCAGCCGATTGAAAGGCGCAGGCTTCCATCCCCGCAGTCTTCGTCCGCCGTGATCCGCTGCCACGAGATTTGGAGCGATGCCTGGCTTGACCTTGCGGCTGTTGTCTCAAAAATGAAGAGTTTCATGAAATGGGCTTCGCTTTTCTTTCTTGCGGTGTTTATTTTTGAACCAACAACCTCAAAAAGTGCCAAAGGTGAAGCCCAGCGTTGCGAATCCGGAAAACCGGAGATACCCGCAGGCGCGCAGGAAGAATGCCGCAACCTCAGCCATGGTCAAAAAGTTGTTACCCGGTGGACAGTATGCTCCCATGTGAATGAGTGGGAGGGCACCTTTTTGTTTTTTTTTACAAGGAAAGGCATTCAAATGGAAGCGTGTCTTTCTGCTGATTGGCACGGTCACCTTCATAGGGATGTTAGAGGCTCCCTGTTGGGGAAAAAAACATGACCATACTATAGAAGGAGTTTGGACTGGAACATAGATGGAGGCTGAAAGGCTGGGGTGATTGGACTAGATGATGTCCGAGCTGCCAAAATGTTTGAGGTATCGGCAATCCGAGATTACGGGCAAGTACTTGGAACGACCAATTGGTCATCGATGCTGATGGACAAAATCCCGCAGCAGTTGGTAGATTGTGCATCTCAGTATGTAATATATGTATATATATAGCTGTGGGTCAAAACCAATGGTACCATCTTGGGGTAGCTGAATTCATCACCCATTTTAGGACCTATTTTAGCGGTTGGATTGAATGGATGTTTGGGGGCTAACCGATGATGTTGACCCATGGCCATATATATATATATAATATCTATTGGGCTTCATCCATTTTACCTGGCGCAGGATGTCCACTGCACTGCAATCAGCTTGCAGGTCGAAGAGGTCGCCAGCACCTGCTTGAGCTGATATGAAGTCTATGCAGAAATTGTTGGGAGCAGTGTGGACTGCTTTAGCGGCGTTTTGCCGGTTTGCAGCAGGCCAACATGCCGACATCGAGGGTGAGAAGAGAAAAATGGACTGGATATCTACTTGTGAATGGCATAATCGACTTGGGCATTTAGCTGAATCTGACTGAACAAGTCTAACTGACAAGCCCGGCAACACCCCATATTTCGGAGAGCAGTTGAAAACCCCGACTGTATTATGATACATGGTTGTTTAAAGTCCAGTATCAGAGGATTGCGCACCTTTTTGCCTTAGACTGAGCCAACTAGATCCAACTGTTCTTAATCGGATCGTACTTTACATGTTCTTCACAGGGCATAAACGGGTAAAGTGTTGAGCAATAGTGGCCGGAGATTAGACAGTACGCATAGAGGCTGCGCAGGGAAAGTAACAGGACATGCATAGAGGCATGCGTCAGAATGTAAAAAGCGAAAACAACGCCAGACTGCAACCCTTGTGATGAATGAGATTTGGTCACCAGCCGTTGCTGACAACAAGAAACGCACGGCGGCTGCGAGGAAATCCAAAAAAAAAATATCTTCCTGGGCACCTGCGAGGTGAAAGAGATCCTGGGGTGCCGAAGTACTACTTCCTAAGGCGCGAGTTTTTGAGCCATGTCCGGATTTGCGTCATTGGCTGTGGTCAAAACCCAGGAAAATTTCTGGTGAACATCAACATAGGTGGCAAATGGATGTTCATCCACCCCAAAATGGAGCCATAGGTTATGGTTCGTGGCCATTTCAGGGCGCTAGAAGATTGTCAAAGCATGGAGTGCAGAACGTGATGACCAGTTGGAGCCCTTTTCTTCGATTTGCATCACTTGCGGGAGCTGTCAAGGCGAATCAAAGCGCAAACTTTGGTCCTGCTGTGCTGGTTTGCTCCAGCTCCTGTCAAGTTGTTGGAGAAGAAACTAGAAGGGTCTTGGGTTACTTCTGATTTACCAGTGTTTGCGGATGGCCGGGATTGATTGGTTTAGTTTGTGAGGTGATTATGTTGCCATTTGTTGGCTGCCGCAGGCTACTGTTTTTTTTGAGTGGCGAAGTCTGGTAGCCTGCCTGCGTCAGAAGGATTTTGCTTTGACAATCGCTGTGAGACCAGTTGGCGCCACATCTTGGCAGTCTTTGCAGGCTGTGGGGACAAATCATGAAACTTCTTCCACTACCCAACGACTTGTTTTTCTTTAATGGACGTGCGTGGGGCTTTGGCCATGGGGAATAGCAGTTAGGTGTTGGTTGTTGTCAATGCCTTCTGGCCGGCTTCAGGTGCTCTTTGGTTGACATGTGTCGGGATTATTGAAGTCATCGCCCACCTTGCGGCACGCCATGGGCTCCAGGGCCCGAACAGCTGAGCGAATTCTTGAAACCTGGCATCGTTTTCCCAGAGTGTGACACGTGATACAGGATGAATAATTCATGTATGCATACCTTTCGATCTGTAAAGAGATGCGTATGTACATAATATGTACAATGGATATGTATATAAATAGGAAAATGCTGTATTTGCCGTGTATAAACATCTACATATGTATGGTTCGGATGGATGCGTCATCTTGTGGCATCCCGAAGCCCCAGAGGCAAGGCTCATGGGCCCAAGCCAATTTTGCTACTGGATTTTATTTGTACTGGAATGCTGGTGGGCATGTTCAGCTCAAACCTATATGTTTAGACTCAAACTATAGGTTTGAGCTGAAGGACTACCAGCAAACACATAATATGAGCAAGTGTGAGGAAGTCAAGAAGTCGTATTTGCTCAGTTTAATGTGCCAGAATGCGTCTTCTGTCTGACCCTTCTTGAGAGGGATTCGCACTATTTGCAGGTCCTTCCCAATAGAGCCTGCTAATTCACCTCGAAGAAGTACAATGCTCGTGCAGGGCAGGAAGCACGCGGATCACTCAACTCACTCCTGCAAAGCTGCCCTTGCCGAACGCTTTACAAGCAGATTGCAGAGTTCCATTTGCGTGGCATCCAATGCTCCTTCCATTCGGCGATGATATCCGATCCATGAGAACGATGCATGTTTGGATACCTATGATACCTCAATGGTGCGAGTGGCCATGAACCAATGGTCGAGTCTTCAACCTACAAGGGCCATGGGAACCTGGGCTCTGACCAGGAACTCTGGTCTTGAACCTAGGGCCATTGGAACCTGTTGTCTATGAATGGTCGACCCCAGCTACAAGGGCCATCTAGCCAATCCAGGATGCACTTTTGGATAGGTTGCCAACGAATGACCATGCACCGAGGGTCTTCCATTGAAACATCCGATCAAAACCTCTTGCGCTGCGAGGACCAGCAAGCCAGTGGCCAAGTCCAAGCCTCGGAGCGTCCCATCAAAGTTCGCTGGCTCGGCGGTGGGGTTTTTCTGGGCAAAACGCGGAGAAAGCTAAGGGACAGGTCATTCGGACACCCGAGCTCTTGATTCTTTACATGAGTCTGGGGAAAGCAATTTATAAGTCCAGCGTTCTGCTTGTGACTCCAGTGTGACTCACATGAGGGTCCATTTAGAGTCGGCATTTAGAGGTCATTTGCGAATACCCTAGTGAAGGCGGTTGCAAATGGACCGCGTGCGTCCACCATACAGGGGTACCGCCCTCACAAATGGGCGTTGGTTTTCTGTTGGTTTCCCTTTGGAGGTCATCGAGCCTCAACTAAAACGCACATCTCGGAAAAGCGGGGTTCATGGTCAACAGTCATGGATCTAGACGGGAATCGTACAGGGGAGAGATTGTTCGTGAAGTGAAGTTTAAGGAGAAACTGACAGCATTCAGACTTCAAACGTGTTCTTTGTCTTGAGTGGATCCTCTTTGCCGACCATTGCCGAAATGGGAGTGTCCCAATGAGACAAAGTCTCAGCATAGTGGTGCCTTCTTGGGTTTGGCAGTTGAGGCTCAGCGCGCATAAGTGATTTCTATGCTTACACATTTATCCATCAATCTGAAGTGACTAAAATGTTGCATGATCTTGAGCTCCAATTATACTATTCACTTGAGCTCTGATTTTTTGTGGTCTCGGTAACTGTCACGATTGCTTGCTTTGGGCTCCGTTCACTTGGGAGGTCACCCATGTGGCCGTTCCAATATACACAAATATGTAAAGCACCGTGAGTGAAGGGACACCCTACCGCGACGGGAAGCACATGCAGCAAAAGAATCGGCACCTGTGTAAATGAGGCTTATGGTGTTTCTGCAAATGGAAGCACGCGGCTGGCAAAAGCACAGCGAACCGCTGGCGATGGGATTCCATGCTTTTGTTTTTTTTGAACATCTCCCATAGGTTTGGGAATCTTGTCTTCATGATTTGAACAATGTCAGTGGAACAAGTCTTCTGACGGAAACATGTGATGTTTGGAAGGGAAAGCCAGATGAACCCCCCCCCCGTGTTGTTTCTTCATGCCTCTTCAGGTTTCCCTTGAAGATCACCCGTAACGGAAGCGAGGGTTCCTTTTGTTCAATTTTGCTCAACCGGACGACTCTTGAGCTTCCGTGACTGAGCCTCAGGCAGAAGCTGGCCAGGCGCGGTGGTTGACTCTCGCTGTCGTTGATGATTCATAGTACGTCTCCGAGGGGAACCTCCAAAATCGGTTTCTTCTGTTTTGATTTTCCTTACCAGTCCTCAAGAAGGGTAACTAAAAAAAGAGAGAAACTCATGCGTGCATGTCCTGTTCGATTCATTCTCTGGTTGAAGCCCTTGTAAAGCTGATCTCCAAGTGGTCCCGACTTTCAACATGCGGCCGGTGTCAAACAGAATGGGAAATCCATTTTGTCGGGTTTGGGTGAGACGCCATCACGAACTTAACCGCTCGGACGAGTTCCAGTTGTGGGACAGTTATACATCTTGTCCTGCTGCCTTTTACTTGGGGTGGACGAGTGTTTCAGCTGCAGAAGGAGTTTGAAAAAGCAAGCGGGCAATTGTCGATTGTGTGGGAAATGAGAACTCGGTCAGCGCCCCATTACGCTTTCTCACACGGATTGCTTGCTCACTTTTTAGTTGTGACTTTGCACGCAACCGTGCATGCACACGGACATATATGCACATGCACACATGCGCACATGAACACGCACCTACAAAAACACATTGTTGCATACATGTGCAAACATTTGCACATGCAATGTACATATTCTACACGCATGCCCATGAACACACATGCACATATGCAGATTCACACACACACACGCAATTTCACACGGACACCTGGGCGTACACATAGTGACACACACACACACACACACTCGCACGCACACACGAAGACGCGCGCACCCGGGCACACACACACACACGCCCACACGCGTGCACAGGTGCACGCACGCACGCGCGCACGCGTCCACGCACACAAGCACACAAGCACACAAGCACACAAACACGCAAGCACGCAAACACGCAACCACACAAACACACACACACACATACACACACACACACCCACAGACACACACACACACACTCTCTTACGCGAACTAGTATAGAGACAACTACACACACACATACACGCAGGCACACATACATCCCGGCGGACCGAACTCCGCGCTCGCGGTTTGCCGCTTTTCTGAAACAACTTGAGTTTCACCTCAGCGAAATGTTCATTGAGTCCCCAGGAAACCTCCAAAAAAGAGGACGCTTTGCGTCTCGCTGAGGCGAAACGCAAATTGCATCGCTCGTTCCCTCCCTTCTCTTTTTTAACATCTTTGCGATCGCACCGACAGCCTGCTGCTCCACATCTCGCTGGCGCAAGACATAGCGCCACTGCCAAGACTTCACATACAAAAGGACATGTGGGCTGCATGAGGGCAGCGAATTCGGGACATATGCTATGCAGCTTTGACCAGGTAGAGTCAACGTGCCTGTATGGCAGACGACCTCTTCGCGTCCGCGAAAAACATCTTTGACAAACTCTTACTTACTGTGATTGACTGAGTCAGCGTGCCCGCAGTGTTATAACGAAGCAGTTGAGTGCGCTTACCATGGTCAGGCGTGCGCGCGGTGTTTTAACGAAGCAGTCGAGCGGGTGTGCTTAAACCCTGATCAGGCATGCGCGCAGTGCTATGACGATTCAGTCGAGCGGGCGTGCTTGCCATGGTCAGGCGTGCGCGCAGTGCGTGTTATGCAGGGTTATAGCAAAAAAGTGCACGACGTTGAGCGCGGTTTCTGGTCCGCTGGCACATACATGCACATACGTTTGCACTTGCCCATACACTTACACATACACCCCTACACACGCGCACGCAAACACGATATTGGCACACAGGTGCGCACCTCTAGGCACACATGTGTGTTTTCTTTGCACGCACGCACTGGTTTACAAGCATTCACTCGCGCACATACACATGTAGACATACGTGTGCGCATGCACAAACACAAACGCACACACACACACACATCTTCCCATCAGGTCAGCGGAGTTTGCAAGTGTGAAGGCGAGCTTATCACTAGACAAGTTCACTCATCATGATGCTAGTTTGACGATTTCTGGTCCACTTCGGCAAGTGGGTCCGGGACCGTTTTGGTTTTGAGTTGATCTGCCCTGATGTTGAAGCGTCGGTCACATCGATGTTAAGTACTGGTAGCCAGTGATCCTCCGAATATAGTTGATGCCCTGCACTGAGCGGCATGCCACTGAAGCAATACGGCTTGTTCGTCCAAGGGACATGTACATATATATATATGTATTGAAGTGATTCTTTCTACAATCGACGAAGAAAACTAAAACCTTTTGCGCGCCTTCACGTGGGTATGTCCAAAAGTAGGCACCGCTAGTTTTGAATAGTTTGGAGGCTAACCCATATCTCAAGATGGGACCCCCAACAAGACGCCAACTACTTTTTTTTTGGGACACATACCCATTCAAGCTGAGACTTCTTGGTCAACCCTCACCAGAAATGAGCATTTGGATCCGGTGGGAGGAGCGACAGCAGCCCACAGCTGAGTGCGGCCCCCGCGGCGCCAAGGCAGCCACTCCTGGGGTGTCCTTTTCGGCGGCATCAACCACTCCGGGTTTTAAGTCAACCTTGGGGTAGTCAAAGGATAGGAACCTTCGCCCTGGTAATCGCGTCTCTAAGAAAGGTTTGGCACACATATCAAAGTGCTTCATGCATATGCATGCTCACGTGTATAACCATATGCATACATATACATACATACATACATACATACATACATACATACATACATACATACATACATACACACATACATACATACATACATACATACATACATACATACATACATACATACATACATACATACATACATACATACATACATACATACACATGTGTGTATATAAGGCACCCACAAACCGGGGTGTATACATATATATATATATATGTATATATATATATATGTACAAAAGACAGTAGCTTGTATTGGTCATGCGTGTTGTCCTTCGTAATTGTTGGTTAGAACTATTATTATTGTCATCATCATCATCGTCCTCGTCATCGTCATCGTCATTGTCATCATCATCATCATCATCGTTATTGGTTATCGATCATCAATCATCGATCACATGCTGGCCTGGTTTGACATGAGGTGGCCTAAAGCACGGTTCAGTTGCTTTGGGTTCCCCCGGCACCCAGAACTCCCTCCTATGGGCAAAAGTGGCTGAAGCAACCAGATTGCTCGAAGGAACAGCAGCACGAATGCTGACCGCTGATGATCAGACCCCCGCTTGTCCCTTTGTAGCGGTGTTTGTGTTTGTGAAACGGGAATAACAGGGACTGCCTTGGTCAATGACGGCACCTTACTTGTCAAGTGTCAACAGCAGGCGTTTAATACGCTGACAACACTTTAGATATGTTTCAACAAGAGGTGGAGTGACAACTGTTTCTCTTCTTTCTTATGTTTTTTGTTTTTGTATTGCTTTTTGTTTAAAGAGAAACAAACAAACAAAACGTGGTACAGCAATACAAGATTGAGCTCGCAACGCCAGCCACCGAAGCTCTTCAAGGAAGACACCTTCCACGAAAGGCACAGTAACACCGACTCTAAGGAAATGACGCGCAAAGAAGGACAAAGCGTACCATTTGAGAACATGTTTCGGGCAAAGCAGCTGAGACCTGAGATTCTGTGGACGATGCTTATAGGGATTTGTTTGCAAAAAGAGTGAGTGAGACACATGGACATGAAGTAAGCACACTTCTTACAATCCAAGAGCAGAGGGCCCATCGCAAAGCTACAAAGCAGACACAGCTTGCTTGTGTGTTTCCCAAAGCAACAGGATGCCAACAAGTTTCAATCACATCAATTGGCACCCTCCAAGATGCCTTGAAGAAATGTTGCTTCTGCGGACACGTGTATTCTTCTCGAACGCTCAACTTGCTAGTGCGCAGAGAAGCGAGTATTCAGCTGCAAATGCCATGGTTTGAAAAGAAGTGTCTCAACAGGCTCACCCCGGTTCACATGCGAATGCGTTTTGAAGTTGCCCATAAGCGCGACCGTCTGCAAGTAGATAGACATTCACGTTCATTCACTTGTAACTTCTATGTGTATGTGTAGTTATTTATTTGTTTACTGTAACTTTATATTCACTTGACTTTACTTTCATTATAGATATATACTTTCATTCTCTAACACATATATATATATAGATAGATGTGTACATATGTATGTATATGTGTATATTTATATACACATACATATATATATATATATATATATATGTATATATATGTTCATGTGTTTCTTTAGGTCAGAGCTGGCGTGTCTGTATCCCCCAGACGGCGCCTGGGTGGCGCCGGCGCCTTGGCGCTGAAGCCATCTCTGAGCCTCGCGCGCCTGGCGGAGGCGGGGGGCGAAGAGTTTCGGTGGGCTTCCATTGGCTTGGGCCTCGTCCATTTGCTGCTCTTTGTTTTCTCTTTGTTTTCTCTTTGTTTTGCTGTTTTTTTTTGGTTTAAACTAAGAATAACAAAATTGATTGTTTTTAAAGACACTTGCTCCTTTGCCTGAAAGATGCTGGACGTTTGGTTTATGTATTTTGTTTGCTTCCATGGGCCTCCATTTGCTTCCATTTGCCGTTTTTTTGTTTTTTGTTTTGCTTTTTACTTATCTACTTAGTTTATTTATTTATTTCTTCGTTTTTTTGTTATTATTGGCTTCTCTCTCTTTTGTTCATTGATTATTTGTTACTTTTCCCCTCTTGGTTTTACAGGGAATCTATCACTACTGAAATATGTTCTGAATGATTTTCCAGGGGGCGTGTTCGCCAATGGAAGGCCTGGAAGGATAAAGAACCGCGAAGAAACCACCTGTTTTTTGGCGGGGGGGGGGGGGGGGCCCTGTCTTGCCAGTGAGTGTTGGTGGTACCCTCCTACAACACAACAGAGAACCTGAAAGGGTCCTGTTGGAAGAGAAGCGTGTTTCATATCTGTTTTCGGGGGCAGGTTGGGCTTCTTTTCTTTTTGTGTTTTGCAGCTCTTGCCTTGAAATGAGCTCACCAATTTTTTTTCCGGGGGGACTTCCTTATTTCCGAATATGGAAATTGTAGTAGTGTTGATAATAACATGTAGTCTAGGTCCCCCCCCAGTAGTGCCCTTTTACCCTTTCTTGGGGGAGGGTTCCCCTACTAAAATAGACTACAGAAAAAATGGGTACCCTTATTCTAACCTTTTCTAACTCTGTACTGGAGGACCTAGTAGTGGGTTTGTGGGATTTTGATTGTTTGGGGTAATCAGCAATTGACCATAGCATCGACACAGTGAACAATCATGGCACCTTTTCTTCATTGAGCCCGAATATTTGTTGACCGTAAACAACAGTTGCCTAATTTACTGGTAGCTTTCCTCAAGCTGTCGAAAGCATTGGAACCTCTTCCCAGGTTTTGGCGGCACAGCGCTTTGGACCTCCCCAGAAAGTCTCCGAAGAGCCTGTACCTTGTGCGAATCCATGCGGCACAAAGGGCGGCAGTTGGAAGACCCGCACATGGTTTCAGCCGATATCCGCCACGAACGATATTTGAGGGTTTTTGGATCCCTCATCGAGCGAGCAATGTTCCGAGAGCAAGCCTATAGGCAGCCTATGTATCTATTCAACGTTGTAGGTCCACCATCGGGACGTACGACTTTGGAATTGATCTATCTCTTTTGTCCCCACCTGATAGGAGAACCTTTGCAGCTTCGTGTTGCTAACGACTGAAGCCTCTGTTGACCTGGAGCCAATCCGCGACTGGGTCAGAGCAGGTGGGGAACTCTGTTTACTGCGAAGAAGCACTCAGAGACATTTCCCGTATCTCTCGCACTCTGAGAACCTTTGCTAGGGCGGGAGCTTTGGATTTTGGGCATTTTGGGCGTTTGTGGGGTTTTGGGGTTTTCTATGGTCCCAGTAGTGCCCTTTTACCCTTCTTCGGGGGAGAGTTCCCCTACTAAAATAGACTACCGAAAGAAAAAAGAAAAAACAAGTTGGTACCAACTTCTAACCTCTCTACTGGAGGACCTAGTTTTGTTTCTGCCCGGTTTTGCCGCAAACACGCTCCATGGGCCCTCAAAACCGGGGGTTCTCGTGCCAGGACCTGGCGCCCGCCCTCTATCACGGCGTTTCCGAGGCCGAACCTCACTTGGCTTGGTCCAAATGTTGGACCGGGTTCTTCCATGGTTTGTATTTTCGCTTGTTGGTTTTAAAGGGAATCTTTCCATTTTTTGTTTTTACATTTTCGCTGGTTGGTTTTAAAGGGAATCTATCACTAGAAATATCCCTGTTTTTTCCCGGGGGCTTTTTCGCAAACGGAAGGTTTCCTTCCAAGGGGGTTATTAATTTCCTTGCGTTCCGGGAATCTCATCCAGAGGCTCCTCAAATGTCCCCCCTTTTTTGGAGATGCGACCAACCCTTTGGGGGCAATTGAATGTGGATTCTTGGTGGAGTGATGTTCAAAATCGTAGAAGGGTTGCACGAAGTGGAGCTTTGACTTGCCTCTACCTCGGAGTTGAAACTTGGGAGATGCTGGACCAGAGATATCCTATTGTGCTCCTTGGACTGGCAATGTGTTTCCGCTTGCGGACTGCGAATGCGCTTGGAACATCTGCGATACACTCCTCTCTTCCGTTTCTGGGGGATCCCTTTCGGCTTCTCGGACACTTATTTGAGTGGCGGTGTTTCTTCCGCTCAAGCAAACATGTAAAATGTTGACGCAGCAAGAAGAAAAAGGGAGCGCCGCACTGCAGCCGCGGAAGGTTTGCGGACAGTTGTTTTTTGCACGGAAGGTTTCGCGGAAGGTTCACCACTCATTTGTGTATGGATTCGATGTACGTCTTTTTGAAGCAAACATACTGCCGCTAGACTTCCATTCAGGTTTCAGTACTCCCCGGCGGTGGACCCGTCGATTTCAGCAGTGATGGAGGTTCCTCTTCTGATGCCCCGAATTTGATTGGTGAATTATGATTCGCCCAATAGATTCTGCTTTCAAGGTTTGAAGCTGGATTGCTAATATTCCTGAACCTATGTCCTTTGTGACTCCGAAAGTGGTTCTCTTTGTTTTCTAGCTGCTTGTATTTCCTTTTTGGGTGCAAACATCGCAACGAGCCATTGGGAAGGGCTTGTTTCAGATCCCAAAAAAATGCGTAGCTTTCCACCGTTGCAACGGTTTAACCCACCGCTGGTTTGCCAAGAGCATCTCTCTTGGTTGGCCCAGGGCATTCCGTTTGCAAGGAGCTGCCTCCAGGCATCCAGGAGTGTCGCTCCAAGCTCGAGGCGATGGAGTGGGAACCCAGGATGAAGACAGAATCATTGGAAGGCATCCCATGGAGTCATGGAGAGGGGTTTTCATGAACCCTTGGCTCACAGGGGGGTTTAACTGAAGGTTTGGTACCATCACCTGACATCTCCCACTATGATGGTAGAACATATAGATCCTAGGGTTGAAGGTTGGCCAAGTCAATGGGAACCCAGGATTCAGAAACCCGAGGGTTCCATTTCCTTCACCTCGGGAACTTCACCACCGTGGTCCATGGGTTGATCAGTCTGGTTCCACAAATCGGACATGGACCCCTCAAGCTGGTTGCATCTTTGTTGAGGAGAAACAACCCCCCAGACAGGGTTTCCCACATGTTCGTCAACACCCATTAGCAGAAGCCTGGGTGTTCTCCTTTGGCAAGTTTGACTTCGAAAACAGGCCTCCGTGAGTTCCTAATATGGCTAGCAGAGTATTGCAACAGAGTCGGGATCGCAGAGTTCCAACAATTGCAACCATGACTATTTGTGTGTTTTAGAAGAAGAATCAGGCAGCAATGATAACATGCCTCTGTGTGATATTCCTTGGGTCATTCTGCATTTCGAAACAATGCCCTTCACCAAAGCCAACTCTCCATGTGCCAGGTTTAGTTTTGGCAGCCAATCGAGGAGCCACAGTACACCCCCCCCTCCCCCCCCAGTCAAGCTGGGTCATTCCCCCCGCTTGGCGTCCAGGCCTGCGCTGGACAGCCATGGCAACCTGATACTAGTGATTTCGCAATTACTGAAACCGGTTGCAGAGGTAAGTGTTTCCACAACCACTCGGCCCTTTTATGAGGAGTTATGACAGGGCTCCTTAAAAGATACATTTTGCCCATTTGAAACATGGCTTTTTCCACCAAAATAGAGGGAACACCACCATTTACAAGGCAATGTTCAGGTGTATACTGTGAGGATCTCTGTATGAGGAGAAGCAATCTTCCGGGGCCTCCAGTTCACGTCCATGTGTATTAGTGGGTATCACAACCCTTCAACCGCAAACCTCCCCCCCGTTGCCGCTTCTAGGTCTGACGTCCTTGTGCTTGATTCTCGCACCCCTTCTATTCGCATCGTGTCCCATGTTCAAAGGGCCTCCTTTGTCCGGATTTTCCGTGGTGCGTCAGGGTTTATGTCACAAAGATTTGGATTTTGGGTGTGTCTTTTCTTAAGGTACCCCTTGTTGGTGCTTTGTTAAAGGGACACCAAACGGAAATTATCACCTTTGGCACATCTCTCGACTTTGCTCGCTTCGGCCCGACTGGCATCCGCAGGCCTTCCGCAGCGCCGCGGTTGAGGCCATCTCCTTGGAGGTCCGTCTCTCCGTCTCTCTGTTTGTCTGTGTGTGTGTGTCTGTGTGCGCACGAAAGGATGGCTTCTCTCGGCTTTAGTACCCAGAGGCACAGACATGTTCACGATAGTTCCATCACTGGCAATGGATTATTTTACTGGTCTAGACATCACGGGCAAAGAGCTCCCAAACTTTTTCCGAACAGGACAAGGTCTTACAGCGGGTAATTAGGGTCCGGACCTGGCGCAGCGAGTGGTAAGTTTCCGGATCTCCTTGGTGCTGGCAGCCGTTGCCTTTTGACCCGGCTTGCTCACGGTATGTTCTGCTATGTGGAAGGTGTGTAGATCTTAGAGCGAAACCGGTACGGATCCATTAGTCTCAATCAAGAAATGGAGGGAGGCAGGGAGGGAGGGAGGGAGGGAGGGGAGGGAGGGAGAGAAAGCGAGCTCTGCCAAAGCGCGCCAGGCAATTGTGCGACTAGAGCAGAAGAGGCCTGACTGGGGCACCGGCAACCTTCGTCCATGATCAATATGCAGCATCCATTTGTTGCGTGGCTGGTGTTTGGTACGGCCTTCGCCTCTTGGATGTTTGTTTTTGCAAGGTCATTGAATTTTTGCAGCACCTCAGGATTCGGGCGTGGCCCATGTCTTTCTTCATATCAACAACTCAGCTGTCCAAAGCGAATCGACCTTTCACTTCTTGGGTAGCCCTTGGTCCGTTTTCGGTCCCCCCACGTAGTACAGTGTATTGGGGATAAGTAGTCCCAACGCAAACCTTGTGCAGGATCCCTCATTGCCATGTCAGGATCCCTCAACCTGGGTTCAGGCTTTGCTCACAGCCGGACAACTCAACTAACCTGGTCCCCTCCCAGTGGATCTTGAATATCATTCTGGGAGGAAACATATTTATTTACAGAGGTTTACTTCAGTCCTTGTGCAAAGGACGAATGTGCAAAGGGGTTCGCCCGTGAATAAAAGCTGTAAAACTCATTGCCACATGAGGAACTTTGATTGTTCAGCTCAAAATGGAAAGGCATGGTTGAAAGTACATATTGCAATTGCAGTTTGCGTTTGAGCTTCACTTTCATAAATGAAATCAACATTGGTTTTGTTTAGAGGTATCTCTAATACGACTGCAGTTAGGGTTAGTATTTGGGTGTTGGCTCCCAGAAAAAGATGTAGTTGATCAAGAGGGTGCATTTATTGATGGGGAGCGAAGGAACCAGCCCAGCGCGAGGGAGTTGATTTCTCACATCCAGCGGGCGACCTTCCGAGTCAGCGCCAGGAAAGAGGAGCCAGTGCCACGCCCCAGAAGTCCTCCATTTTGGGTGCGGGCAGTTTTTTTCCCGGGTTGGATCAAAGGGAAGCCTAGGAAAAGTAGCAGGTTTGGATGATCTCCCTGTTTTGACACAGTTGTAAAGGCGAATGCCCCTTCTGATTTGGCAATGTGTCCAACATTAGGGAGTTCCTTTCGGCACTTAAAGGACGCCAACGCGATGTGAATGGGCTGTTAGGCTTGGCACACAGCCGGTTGCCACCCCATCTGAAGTAGCAACAATTTAACTGACAGGTATCGGATTCTGATATTATCAGAATCCGATACCTGTCAGTTAAATTATATGCCCCCTGAGAGAGCATTCGATCAGATTTGTCCTATAGCCATGGGGGTGCGACCAGTTGCCGAAGACGAGCACAAAAACAGATGCAGAAGAAGAAGAAGGCGGAGGAGGAGGAGGAGGAGGAGGAGGAGGAGCAGAGGAGGAGGAAAAGGAAGAACAATCTACCATTTGCCAAACGAAGGTTGGTGCTTTCGATCGTACCGACAGGTTCAGCGGCCAGGCAGTATGTCACACCAACACATTCAGCGGTCAAAAACCCTCTCTCCTTGGGATGGATAGGGATGGTCCTGGAAGCCTTCATTGGATTTTAAGACAACAGTTGTATGGGTTCCAAAGCTACTACCATTACCCACATACATAATTTTTACTATGGTACTTGTACTGGGAGAACCAATTTGTTGTATCGGAGGATTTGAAGTGTTCGCAAGTTTCAGGGAGGTGTTTCTACCATTGAAGCAAATCATTGCCATGGGAGCATGAATACGAATGGCAAGCGCAGAACAGTGGTTGATATCCACCAATGGTGTCCAACTGCTGATTCGTATCCAATGTGGACCACCGAGGCTCCATCGCAAGCATCAACCCAATCCAAGCTGATGGCCACAAAAAGACAGGCGGGGGCAAAACGCTGTGCGTGGGGTGGGCTTAGGGTCCTTCAGGGATCTAATGAACGTCGATTCTTGAAATACGCTTTCCACTTTCTGTGATTTGTCAAGGGAATTCCTTAGTGAGGAAGTAGACTCGAGAAGTGGGCGGTTTGGGGAAGCAGATGTTGAGAAGATAGAGAGCAACGGAGAGAACAGGAGAGCAAAGGATAGCAACGGGAGCGCGGGAGGAGCAAGATAGAGGCATTCATGGCCCACCACCCTTGTCGGTTGGCTGGTTGGGGATAGATGGGGTTGAGTGGGTGTAAATTGCGCGGTGAGACTCGCCATTTTCCTAGATGGGAAGCAAGCAAGTTTCACGTTTTGTTTGAAAGCTTCTATCGCAGCGGTTTTGAAACTCTGCCGTCCCTCTTCCATCGACAGTATCCATTCTCATCACGGGCTTGCAGGCAGAGAACATATTAGAATCATTAAAAAGTGATGAATCGAGTAATGAAAAGACACTGTAAATCCAGATATTTGCACAGCCGGGTCTTTCCTTTTTCTTTGTTTGTTTCTTTCTTTCTTTCTCTGTCTTTTTGTTCTTTCTTTCTTTGTTTCTTTCTTTCTTTCTTTCTTTCTTTCTTTCTTTCTTTCTTTCTTTCTTTCTTTCTTTCTTTCTTTTTGTCTTTCTTTGTTTCGTCTTTTATCTCATTTTATTATCATCCCTCCTTTGACCGCTACAGCATACAAGAGTGGCATTGAGGGAGTGATCAGAGATGAACGACATGTCCATTCCCTTCCAAGCCTTGCTTTGCTAAAGAAAGCAGGGAATAGGATGACTGTTCAGTATTTGATTCACTGTTCGAATCTCTTTCCTTCCCAGGCCAGCTCTTTTCCATCCACAGATGGATATGTCATGATGCAAAGAGAAAGAGAATAATGGCGTGACATACAACACTGCACCTGGCCTCTGTAAATGAATTATAAAGGACGGTAACCACACTGTTTAACGGCATCCGACGGCTGCAGAAAGCTCTGCAAGAGATCTGCCAGGAGAATGTCCCAATCTGAACACCAAAATCCTCGAGGAAAGCAACAACACAATCCCCCAGACAAAAGGCAACTGGGCATGGCCAAGACATTACCCCCAGAACGTCAGGACCTCAGCCAGGTGTGTCGTGCTTTGCAGATGGGAGGCTTTTCAGGGTTCTTCAAAAACAGGCACATGAGAAATGGTTTGTCTTCAGATTCCTCAAGTTTTGTTTAGTTTGGTGAATGTGAGGAATTTTCGGACTAAACCACACTTGGCAGAATCCCCAAAACCTCGACTCAGAGCATTGGTTTCTGGTGGGGCTTGCCGGCGACGCGCAATGGCTTCCGAAAAAAGCAGGCGTCATCCAGAAGTTGTCACATGTGTTCTTTTTGGTTTGCAACTTCGTTGGGGAGATATTTTTTGCCTAGCCCTGGCACAGGGCTAACCCTGGCAGGCCTGGGTTCGTTGGTTGGTTGGTTGGTTGTGGCTGGCTGGTTGGTTGGTTGGTTGGTTGGTTGGTGTTCTTTTCTCCTAGGTGCCTGTCATTTAAAACTGTTTGGCTTCTTGGCCTTTGAGTTCTCAGCCTCTTAGAGCACCTTGTTTGCAATCGCGCACTTTCGGCATTAGTGTCCTTATTTGTTTGCCAATGGGGGGGCTGCGACCCCAACCACCGGGCCGTTGTTCGGCTGTGTGAACCTCGTTCACAATGGCGCCCTTTCTGCATAGTGTCCCTATTGCCGAAGGTTTGTGCGCGCCAGGCTGTGCCAGGGTTGGTTGGGCTATTGCCAGGGCTGGGCCAGAAAAAAAAAAAACTCAGCCACGTTGTTGTTACACAAGCTTTGTGTTATATATATATATATTAATATACGGTACGCTTGTTCTCTGGCTGTTCGATTGGCTTCTTGGTTCGCTTTGCTGCATGTTGTTTCTATCTTGTGGTTTGTTTCGGGTGGCTTGGTTATGCTTGGGGTGGCCGTTTAGTTCAACACTGACTGACTGACGCGTTTGCCTACATTTAATAACACTTGTTGAAAGAATTTGTTTGAGATAGGATATATTTGCCAGCCCTAGCTTATGGATCTATGGAGCTGTAACTAGCGCGCTTGCGCGCTGTGACAACTTCACTCGCCGGCTGCTACATCTACGGGAGGTGTCATGCACGTATTCCGCAGCTACTTGCTTGTCTACAAACCCTGCTTTTGTTTATGCTGTTGTTTGGTGCAGTTGACCTGCTCGCCACTTTGGACGTTTGATCCACACAAGTGCCTGCGATTGAAGAAGAAGAGCAGAGCGAGTGCCTAGGAGTAGGAGGTTGTAAATGGCAACAACAGAGCCTGTAGGAGAATGCTTTCCAGCTGGATCGACTTGCGTCCATTCAGTGATCCGCATGCTTGACATCCATACGAACCCACGTGAGTAGGCTGTTAACCGGCACCCTGCGCATGGGCGAGACAAGATCAGAGAGTCTATGAACAACGAATCCAGTAGTTATAATACATTTCAGTTGTTTCGAGCCATGGTAGGGATTCTGACTTTGGTCGGATTACCCTCCCCCAGACTAACATGGACGCTCCCAGGACCCCGAAATGGAAGAACCGGTTCTATTTAGAGAGACCTTCTGGGAGCTTCCAGGTTCGGCTGAGGGAGTGTAGTCTGTTGTTTTCAGCTGTTCCGAACCCAATCCCACCAAAGACGGGCGGTCGCTTTTTTGTCGCCGTGATCTGCGCGCCAGGTGGGAATTGCACCTGCGCCAGAAGGCACCGCACACGCGGGTGCGTTGCCCCTGAGATGGCTACTTCCCTGCTGGGAGCGTGAAACAACCTTAGGTTGGAACACCTTCAGAAATGCTTTGTTGCATGTTGCTTGAATTTTAGGACTTTAACTTTTCGCCAACTGATGGGTTTTCCATTAAACCGCAAAAAGTTAAGCTTTTAGCAGGGGAGCAGAAAGCAACCGAGAATAGATGGTGGACGCATCTGAATGCCCATCTATTTCTCAAGACGGTCCAACCAGACGCTTGACATCGGGCTTGTTGCAAGGGCCAGAAGGTCCAAAGAACTTGTTGGCGCTGAGCTCCATGCCACCCTAATTGAGGGAATTCGGTACACAACTTCCACAAAGGAATACGTGGAATGCGGGGATTTGCCCCGCTTCTGTGCCCGGGAACTGTTTAAGGGAAGGTCTTCCAGAATGGAACTGGCCAACTCCCACACCCTCCGCGAACATAACACCGGTGGAAGAATACTTGATTTTTTTCAGGGACCATTCTTTGTTTGACCATCTTCTACAAACTGATCATTTTTTTCACTGACCATGTCTAGAAACCGATGCGAACTGATTTTTGGTCTACGCCCTGCTTCAGGCCCACCGGGCGTGGACGAGGTCAGGAGGCGCGGGAGAAAGGGTGCGGTGGGCATCGCAGTTGCCAGTGGATTCCGCCTGCTTTGTTCGACTTCTTGTTGGGGAAGGGTTCCGATTCCTTGAAAAACGCAACCAACCAAGAAAGGATGCCGATTTTTCCTCCCTCTTTTGTTCTGATGGAAACCCAGTCTGCATGTGAGGGCATCCCAAGCACGGCAGTGTCCATATTTTGAGGCAAGCTGGAATTGGATCCCTGGGATAGCCCGGGAAAGCTTCCCAGAGAGTGTTTGAGTCGAAGGCATGTACCCGAAACGGGCGACGAATCGAAACTGGGCTGCCTTTTTTGCAGCATTGCTCACCTGCGCAATTGAGAAACCATGAAAAATCATCCTTCGAGTGTTTTGACGTGTGTCATGTCAAAAGTGGGGACCCTCCAAACTAGCTACGTTGCTGCTGGCACCCCCTTTTTGGCCGTCCAAGTATGTAGCGTTTCCACAGCTGCTAGTTGTTTGGTTGCCCTGCTGTGTGAAGTTTGCATCCTCCAGATTCGCAATGCCAGCAAGCAGCCAAGCTGGGCCGTGCATGTCACAACACGCTTCTCAGTGTTGCTGCCAGAAACAGTCACCACTGTTTCGATGGCCGTGTTTGTGGTGCTGGCTGGGTGAATTTTCTCCAGCGTCTCAGGGACGGGGCACGAAAGCACTAGATGACCGGGTGTGCGGTTTCTCGAAAGTGTCAGTCACTTCCGGGCCAATCGTCGAAAACCATATTTTCGCAGCCTCATAGCAGAAGTCAAGCCTCCCGCGACAGACCTGCCGTTCTTAGCAAAACCAGGCCCCTATGTTTGCCTTCCCAAGCGGCGGGCTGGCATCTTTAAATCCCCTCTCATTTCGATTTCAGAGATAGGAGCAGAAAGTGGCCACTAAACAAACAAAAGAAACGCAGGATGCAAGGCTTGTCAAAATGCGCTTGTCATCATGCAGTGTTTGTTGCTGTTCACCTCGCCATGGGTCAAATCCCGTGGTGAATTCACCGAAACCCCCACAATGGGATCCCAAAAAGGTTTTGACAACCACAGCCACCTTCCTTGCATCAACAGCTGGCCCAGCTGGCTATGTTTCTCACCTGCTGAGACTGGGATTTGTCTGCCGCAGGAAGCTCATGATCTTCAAAGAGCTGGTTCAGCAGGCTGAGGCACAGGAGGCGAGCATGGGAGGGGTGGACCATGATGACGCTTCGTTTCGCAGATACCCCTGATGTTTGGTTGAGTGGTGAATCGAATTAGATTGGGTCCCTTGATGTTTGGTTGAATTGAATTAGATTGAATCAGATTGACCCATCCAGAAGTTGTTCGTTTGGTTTCACACATCGGTGATCGACATAGCATGGGTATGTATCAGCTGTGCTGAAAGCGCCAGCGTGGAGGCCAAGGACTGATTTCCTTGTTCACAGCAACTTACCCAAAGCAAGGACTTCAATGCATGTCAAGGCCAACCCCCAATTGGGAGGACCTTTGGTACACAAAGAAGTGCTCCGGACAGTCTTCGGCATTCGAGCTCTTTTTTCTACTCGAATCCAATTCGAGCACTTTTTGAAGTGGCCTAGCTGCTTTGGGTGAAGTGCGCGCTCATCCCGCAACTCGAGCGAAATTTCCCGCTACTCGGGCGCCGGGCGCAACTCTCCCTAAGTTTGCAACGCCAAAGCTCCTCCCCGCAATCCGTGCGTTTGCATGTGTTTGCATTTATCGTTATTCGCTCACTTATTTACCACGAAGGCTCAAGCAAACCTTTGTGTATCAATGGGTCCTGCAGTTATTGTACCTGATCTTTCTTGGGCTAGGAATCAATGAACACCCGCGAAACGGTGCGGGACTGATACAGTTTCCTAAGCAAAAGCTTTGTGCAAACAGCACAGTGCGCCCTTGAACACACCCAGACGTTATCGGATTTCCAGCGGATGCCCAAGGGCCGATTCCGAAGCCGCGTGAAAACTTCATGCGACGCGCTTATGGCTGTGGCTCAAAAAACCCGGAATGCCATTAAATGGGTTGTGTTGGGAAGTGGAAACATCGACCAAAACCTGCGGAATTAACCCCTCCTGTTTAATTTTGAGCCCCATATTTTACACGTCCAGGCTTTGCTGGTGTTCTGTGTCGCAAGCGTTACATCCTCTTACAGTTCAGTCAAAGGCACATGCCACGCCCGTTCCAGAACGGGTTTGATATTTCTTGGTCTAATGACGTCAGCATGCCAACGCAAGGGATCCGATGAAGCGTTCAAGGGTCGTTCTCAAAACGGAGTTCCACCTTATATAATCAATCTTGTAAAGCCCCAGCGAAACCTCGATGTCTCTCAAAAGCCGAGGCGAGAGCAGGGCTCTGAGCAAGCTGCGCCCCAAATGGGGCCGCCTTTGCGGCTTACAGCCTTTGCGCTTTATCCAAAAGCAGGCCCTGAAGAGAATGCGGCCAGAGATATTTGTGCGACGCTGCAGATGTGTCTTGTTTTGCTCGACAGCTGTCGCAACACACAATAGTATGCCTAGTCCTACTTACTCTATTTGCCAAA